CTGCATGCAGTATCATCAAAGCAATGCGGGAAATCTTAGGTCTATGTTCTACTTTAATGCCTCACATTATCAGTCAAGGTACGTTAACTAAAGAAAGAACTTATTTTTTAGGAAGAGTTTGAGCAGTATGCAGTTAATGATCCCTGGGTAGAGTCGCTGATTGTGGGCCTGCAGAATCTCTTGAAGCCATTTCATGTAAGTTTTCCGATCTGCCAATGGAAAATAACATTTTTCACTTCTTCAGTTTTGTCACGAGTAGAGAAATTTACGTACTACATCAAAGCTTCTCACCATGTCATGAAGTCGACCAGCACTCAGGCAGAATGCCTCGAGGTCTTAAAGCAAAGCACCTTGGGAACGCTTTATTACTATCAGCAGAGGATACTGCCCGCTTTCATCTGTCTGGGGGGAAATACAAATTAATATGGTGCCGAATCCTTCACAGCACTTCAGAATTAGCCCAACCAACATGTCATCTGATAATATCAAATTTTAGCAATCAGGAAAACATTTGTACTTTATGACTGCGATTTAGTTTAACGCAAATTCAGAACTTGAGCAAGATTCTTCATCATTGCCGTTAGTTATTCATCTCCAGCATTCTCACTTGGTCTAATGTAGCCTTGGTGTTTTCCCTTTCAGGCAACTCTATCGGCTGGAAACTACGAGAAGTTCTTGTTGCTGTTGATTGACGAGATTCTTTTCAGATTAGAACGTTTTATCCAACAGAAGAGCTACAACAGAGTCTGTTGCAAATCTATGCCAAATCGATGTTTTATTCCTACAATAAAGCATAGTTTCCCAATTTCTTTTAGTATGGTGCTCTGCAATTTGAGAAGGAATTGAGGTGCATCTTCAACTTCTTCTCTTCCCTTTCCACCTTTCCGTGTCGGGAAAAGTTCGCACGCATTCTTCAAATTAGCAAATTGCTAAACCTCGAAAAGGTAGGCGTTTTCTGCTCGCCATCTCACCTTTCCTCTTCACTCCTATTGTTTCAACTGGGAAATAATTCTGGACACACATTTTTGTCCGGCAAAAAGAACAAAGCATGCTTATTGATGGTCTTAAAAGCCACCATAGTTTTTGTTTAAATATCACTGAGCGAAAGCACGTTTATGCTTTCTTTGCAGGTGGAGGAAGTGAGCTACTACGGCGATGCATCAAACTGGCGTCTGTCGGCAAACGA